CTAATGACCTCTTTCTTTCTCAACTCTAAGTTGTCTTTCTCCCTTGTGGTGTTTTAGCGCCTCTTAGAAAAACTAAGACAGAAGTTGGTACCAGGAGTAGGATATTGCTGTTACAGGCCTGACCATCCTGGGTTTTGGAAGACATTGAAAAAAAAAAAAAAAGAGCAGTTGAATGTGATAAGCAAAGCTTAATGGGCTATCTTAGTAACCTGGAAGAAATTAGTGCCAAAAGAAATGAGGACTGTGGAGGCCTGACTCAAGAGATTTAAGAAGGAAACAATATTAGCAAATGGGCTAGAGACAGTTCCTGTGATATTTTGACAAAAAAAAAAAAAAAAAAAAAGGATTTGCATTTTGCCCTTGTCTTAAGAGCTTGCCTGAGGCTAAATTTAAAAGCAACAGGCTAATTTTGTTAGTCTCCTCTCGACAATTCTCCTCTCGACAGAGGAGATCTTAAGACAGCCTAATATTGACTCTATTGGATGTTTATTATTAATTACTCTTCTGCAGGTCTACAATGAAGTGGGGCAGAAAGAAATACAAAATGTGCAGTTTGGAGAGGCCAGATTAATGCTACAGGCAAGGCTTGTGATGGAAGAGGGGCTGCAGTTCTAAGAGACTGCAAATCAGCACCATTAGGAGGGGCCTGATATGGACTGGAATAAAGCTAAGCTTCTAATTTGTAAAAGAGAGCAAAAACAACTGCAATCAAAGCTGCTGCTAAGGTGGGCCACAGGAGCCAGGATCTACCACAGGCCGGCAGCCAGACTTTTCAGTGCTGTCCATGTGGTGCTGGCTTTCAAGTCATGAAAGAAAAGGAGTCATGCAATCTTTCTCCACAGTTTCAGAGAGCTACTAAGGCCAGGCAACCGGTAGCAGGAGAGTCCCTGTCTGAAAGCCCTGAGAAGGTAAAGAGGCCCTGAAAGACCATTGTGGTGAGGCTGTGGAGGTAAAGCCTGTGTTATACTGAAGACTCCCAAATGTTGGGGTGCCAGAGCCATAGCATATCTGTCAGGGAGAGATGCATACAGGAAGTGAAACCAGCCCAAGAGAAAAAAGTATGTTGCAGGCAGCAAATCTAGAAAAGTGGAGCCCTCTAAGCCCTTTGACATGAGACATGGAATTACAGGTTTTAGAGTTTGCCTTGGTGGGTTTTAGTCTTGTTTTGGTCCAAGACTCATACCATTTTCTCCCTGTGTCCCCATTTCTCCCTTTTGGAATAACAATGTATATTCTGTGTCATTATATGTTGGAAGTATGTGATTTGCTTTTTCATATTGCATGGAGTTACAGTTAAGAGTTAAGTGCCTTGAGTCTCAGAAGACACTTTGGATTGCTGAACAGTGTGGAGACTGAGAGACTAGGGGGACTTTTGAAGTTGGACGAAACACATTTCGCTTTATGATATGGCCACAAAACCTATGCTGGTTTAAGATGAGATGTGCTCTAGAGTTTTGCTTGGACAATTGAATAAGCAGTTCCCAGTTGGTAATACTGCTGTAGGAAACCTTAGAAGATGTGGCCTTGTTGGAGAATAATACCATGGGAGCAACGAGTTTAAAGAGTCACATTTCAAGTTCATTCTCTCTGTTTCCTACTTACCGTTCAAAATACACATTCTCAGCTTCCAGCGCCAGCTGCCACGCCTCTGCTCTGCCATCATGGACTCTTATCCCTCTGGAAACATAAACCCATTAACCTCTTTCTTCTGTAGGTTTCCTCATTGATGGTGTTTTGTCACAGCAGTAGAAAAGTAACTAATACACATGTTGTCACAGCTGAGCTGTTATCTGTCTCTCTCAACACATACACTATCAACAAGCTAGCAAAGGATGCAGAGGTCTTGGGAGACAGTTCGGAGAGGGCTTTCCCAGAAGCAGCCTGGTATTCCAGTGCTGTGGAGGCAGGCAAAGACTGCCAACTCCTGGGGATCCCGGTGAGAGTGATGGGTGCTGTGGAATAAATAATTCCTGATAAATAATTCCTGTAAAGACTTCTGGTCTTTACAGGCCCCTACACACACACACACACACACACACGCACACGCACACGCACACACACACACGCACAAAGGACATAGACCCATTGCTCAGTGCAGTTTGATTACAGGATATGGAGAAACCAAGCTGGATCTGACCTTAAAGCTTCCTCCCTGCTGGCTAGCTTTTATAGTGCTGGAAGGTGTTTTGCAGGCCACAGGGGGAAAGAAGCCAATCATGGCCTTACCCAGCAGCAAACCCTGCACCAAACCAACCCACCAAACAAGATGTGTCCACTAATGCAATAGTGGCACACATGCTATAGGGGTAACCAACCACTCTTGGTTTGGACCGAGCTTTGCTCCACAGGAGGGAATTCATGCCTGGCATTGTAAACTCAGTCAAAAGTACCTGGCTTAGGGCTCATGGGCCCTAGGAGGGAATCTACTACTATTTTCTTGCTCACTAAATGCTATCAAACTGCCTTCTGAATGTCTGTTTATACACACAGATTCATGCTTAATCTCCGCCAGAGAAGCTTCTCTCTGCAGTGAGCAACAGCTGATGAAGAAACTCATAACTCAAAGTGCTAGGAATAAGTGATAGCTGAGAGCTCAGCTCTAAATGTGATATCTGTATCAACTTGACCTCCAAGGCTCAGGGGACATCAAAGACTAGGGCACAGAAAGAATGTAAGAGCCAGAGGATAGGAAGGAATGCCTTGAGATGATGTCTTCTGGACATGATACAGTTATTGTATCCATGAGCTCACGGCAGCCATGGTTCCCTGAACCAAGACTCAGTAAGTTGAGAGAGAGAGAATGGAAGAGGAAGGAGATATGTTGGAGATACGCTATGAGGGAGAAATGGGAAGAGATAGTTAGGTGTGCATATATTGAAGACACATTGTATACATGAATGAAATTGCCAAAGAATAAATAAATGATATTCTCTTCCTTTAAATAAGTCACAGCCTGCATACAGTAGGTGCTCAATGGTTACCGGATGAGGGAGGTTCCTGCTTCACCACCACTTTATTAGGCTCAGGAAATCATATAGGCAGTACCTTTCTTCTCGGGAAGCTCTGGGGTGTCCTGAACCCTAAAACATAGCAGTCACAGTGACTTCCTCTGCGTATGTGGCCATGCCCCTACCCCTCTATTTCTGCCCTAACCTCACTGGATCCCTTAAGTCCAAGCCCCATCAGGTGTTCTGAGTTGCTTGAGCTTGCCTCTGAGCCCTGCCACACTGTTCCCACTTCCTACACCTGCTAAGTCTGTGCTTCTCCTTACAACCCTATGACCCTGATGAGAAGTCACCTCTGCTGAGAAGCTGCCTCCCAGCCCTGCCCCAGATGAGAATCAGCTCTTTCTGCAGCTGTCTGGATTGTCCTTTGCAGAACTACAGCCATGTGAGTGATACTGGTCCCCAGAGAAAGCTTCTTCCTCTTCAGGAGGAGATTCCAGGTTCTAGGCTTCCCTGTTCCTCTCTAGCCAGAAGGGAAATTTTCCCACACTCCCTCACAACCAGGAAGTGCCCCGCCCTCTGGGAGCCTGTTTAGAACAAACACAAAAGCCAGGATTATTCTGCCTACCTGTTTCCCCCAGTTTGTGGCCACTGCAAGCTCTGTTTGTGGGTGAGTAGCCTCCCCCTTCTTGCTTATCAGGAACATCAGAGGACCCTTGCTTGGCCTTCCCCAACTGTCCTCAGGCAGTCTCACTCCTCAAGTTCTACCCCAAGGACCCTGGGATCAGTAAAGATATCACCTGCCTACTGGGGAAGAATTAACCCAATCAGGGAGCTTACCTGACAGGGACTATCTTGGAGTTCAGAAGGACCTGGACTCTGGTCTTCCCTCAGGAATCCTGAGATTCCTGACCCCCAAGCCCTCTCCTTTCCTTATCAGCCTTCATCTCATCCTTCCTGGAAGCCCTGGTTGACTAGATCTCCTCCAAGCCTCAGAGAGCTGTGGTGGGTTCTCCTACAGCCTCCTAGCAGAGGACCTGGGGACACTTGGAACACATCCATACTTGCAACACATCTCCCATCCCAATTCTTGCACTGGAATCTACCCTAAACAAACTGTGCACACCTGGAAACAGAGCCCTGGGCCTGGTCCAAGGTGCGAACTCTAATGGCCCTGCCCCTGACTGCCCGATTTAAGACATGTTCTCCCGCACCCCCTAGGCACCTCGTGTCTTCCTCACCCTGTCACAATTCCTCCCATTTCTGATCTGCTGAGCTGGGGAGAGCACACAGCAAAGGAGATCTGATTTTGACATTGTGGCCTATGGCCTGGCCCCTACTCTGCAAGGTGGAAAGGTGGGCGAGCGAAGGGGTGAGGGAGCTGCCTGGAAAGGAATGAGTATGGTTAGTACTGGCCAGGGCCAAACCCTGTGTTCCCAGCGATGTCATCAAAACCGCAGTGCTGTGTCCCTCCAGGGATGTGGGGACAGAGCAGACAGGGTGACATGGGGGAAAGAGAGCATTTCTGTAGCGCCCAGAAGCCTCCTGGTTTGGGCAGAGAGATCCGGCGCCCATGAGTTGCCCAGGCAAGTGTGGTATCTCTGTGCCTCCCCTGGCTTCTGCTTTCGCTTTTCTCCTGGATCCCCGAGGCAGCCTCTCTCCTTGTTCTCCTTCTCTTACTCTTCCTCCTTCTCCTCATCTTCCCTGCCCAACACTAAAGGGACACCCTCTGTTGCTTAACGGGTCAGAGTAAGCGAAGCGTAACACTTGGAAGGCTTAAGCCTGGCGAGGGCGGAGCCTCGGAAGGGGTGTTTGGATTGGCCAATGAATGCTCAGAAGCTGCTTTGCGCGCTCGCCTAGATCCCAGGGTAGTGGGGCGGGCGAGGTCCCCAGCGGGAGGCCCCGCCCGGGTGAAAGTGGGAGGACCCAATCTATTGTGGGGCGGGGCCTTCCTGGCTCACTGCGGAAGGGAAGGTGTCAGGAAACATCTGGAAGGGCTCACCCACCAGGAACACAGCCCACATTCTCCCGGCAAAGACAGGTACCCAGACTTACCTGTTGAGCTTCCAGACCCGAGGATGTCCATCTAGGTGCAGCTCAGAGTCCTTGACAGGATCTCGGGTGAAGACTGTCCTAGGGCCCTAATGGTGGAATCAATCAAAACTTTGAAAGGGGCTCACACTGGCCCCAACATCCGGTTCCCACCCGTTGAGGCGGTTGGGAGGGAGGAAAGGACCCCACTGTAAATTCGGCTGAGCTGCCGAAGAAGCAAGGTTCTCAATGGGGCAAGAAGACGCCTGCATAATGACTTGCATTAGCCCCATACCCACCAAAAGCAACAGCCAGAAATCAGATCTGCCTGCATTTCCCTCTAGAAATAAGGCATGAGGTCTCCCTGTGGACGGCACCTGGAGGCTCACCCAGATGCCCCTTTCAGGTGGGAGTGCTCCCTGCAGGGTTGGATGTGCCTGTCTCCTGTTCTCTGGAGGCCATGACCTACCAGGAGCTGGTACTTGACTCATTCTTGAAGGTCAGGGTAGCTGGCGAACCCTGGGAGCTCTGTAGTCAGCCACTCTCTTCTCCCTCTCCTGCAGGCACAGGCCATCCCTTCCAGCCTGGTGAGTCAACACCCAGTCAGAACCAACAGGACTTTTGCCCCTTGCCTGCTGCAGCAAGGCTTGCCCTGCTCTGGCTCAGGTCTCTCCAGGGCTCTGGATACCGCCTGCCCAGGATGGCTGGGCAGCTCCCTGGCAGCATGGGCGCTCTGCGCCGGCAAGGGATCATGATACTCTCCTATGTGCTGACTGCCCTGGAGCTAACGTGTCTCTTCATGCAGTTCTCCATCATACCAGTGAGTAATGCCCATAACCCACAGCAGAGGCCCCGAACTGCCTTCCTCCTGGGCGATGGCAGGGAGCAAGGTGGGGCTTGATGGGGACCCCTCCCCTCCTGCTGGGTAAAAGTTAAGGAACTGGACCCATTGATTACCCTCTACCAGTGAGTTGCCCTCTCTGCCCTTACTGAGATGGCACCCTCCTCCCATAACCACCCTTACTTGCTGCCCCTTTCCCCTGTTTTTCGCTGATCACCTCTGCCTGATACCTACTCAGCTCCTGTCCCAAAGGGCTCTCTCTATGCAGTCCCAGTCCTTTCTGAAACATCCGTGACTGTTCATCCCTTTGTCCTACTGGGCACTCCCTCTGTTTCCACACTTAATACCTTATTGAATGTTAGCATTCCATTGGTTTCTCTGCCACCCACCAAGATATGAGGGCAGGGACTTGATCCCACAGCCTTGGTGAACTCTCTCTCTGGATGAGGGCAGGGTGGGACAGAATAGTCACTACTGAGTACAGGGTCCCTACCCAACACCCTTCAGTTCAGTCCTACTTTTCACTATTAGTCATTCAACAAACCTTTGTGGAGTTGACCCACGAGGTGACTGGGCAGCTGCATCTATGAGAACTTAGAACTCAGAGGTTGACCTGAGTCCACAGACCACCTTGAAGTGCCCCCTTGGAGACTCTGAAAGCCCAAGCTGGCTTGAGTATTAGGTTGAGGTTGTCTCTGTGCTAGGCTTGGGTCCCACTCAGCCTATGGACCTGGCTCTCAGTGATGGTCAGAAGGTCAGGCTAGGCAGAAGTGAATTCCCGGGCACAAGGGAATTTTGATTTGAAGCCAGAACTCTGCTCACATTATAGCCAAAAGTCCAAGGTTCAGGAACACAGAGAACAGAGTTAGATGTGACCAAGAAGAATACTCTTTGTTCCCTGAGTCCTTTGTTCCCTGGGGCCCAAAAAAGCAGAGCTGCCTCTGCCTGCAGCTGGGGATATGGGTTAGAGGCAGCCCTGGCCTTTGTCACCATTCTAGGAGTGGCAGACACTCCCAGGTCAGGACCCCACCCTCCACCACCCCTCCTAAACTGAGCTCTGCTTGCTCACATATAGGGAGAATCCCCACCCCAAGCCTCCTTCCTGAAATGTGGGAGACTGAACAGGAGCCTTACCTCCCTCTTCATAAAAGAAGGGTTTGTATGAGGAGGATAATACATTTCAGCCTCAGGAACAGCCTGCAGGGACCTCCAGTGGCCTCCCAGAGAGAGGTCCTGGTTGGCCAGCCTATCCTCATTAAGTCCTGTGAACAGCCACTGGACTGTGACACAGCAGAGTACAAGGATCAGATGGCTGGCCCTCAGAGCTGGCTGCCGGCAGTGTTTGAGTGGTGATGATGTAAGAGTTACACTGAGCAGTGCAAGAAGAAATGGTTGGGAATGAGAAAGGGTGAGGGTAGTGTGGGTCTGAGGGCACATGGTAGATGGGGGGTCAGGACAATTTGGCTGAGAAGGCAACATGAGAGGGGAGGAGTGAAGGCAGCCAGTGAAGCATGGCCAGTGCAAAGGGCCTGGCATGGGGCTGAGCAGCTACAGAGGAGGCACTGAGATCCCAGGACCACACCCATCAAGTGATGAATATATTCCAGGATGGTTAGGGGGAAGCTGTGGAGAGGTGAGAATGTGAGGGTGAGAGAAAGGAGTTCAGGGATGACGCTGGGACTTTGGATCCCATCCTGGGAGGACAGAGATGCTTCCAGGTGCGAGAAAAAAAAAAAAAACAACAGTAGAGAGCTAAGTGACTAAGAGACCTGGCTGCTCTTCCAAAGGCCCAGGGTTTTATTTCCAGCACCTACATGGTGGCTCACAATCACCTATAAACTGTAGTCCCGGGGAATACGATACCCTCTGTGGGTACTACATATAGTGCAGAGACTATATGCAGGCAAAACAGCCATCCACAAAAAACAAAATGAAAAAAATAGCAATCAAAGAAGCAACCGTGGAAGAGCCAATCAGTTTGGAGGAGGACAGGTGCTCAGTTATTGCTACACTATGCTGAAGATAACTTCAGGCAGGGTACTGAGCAGAGGAGGCATGTGCTGGCAGCCGGAAGAGGCCTGGGGCTCTACGGGATGGGGGTGGTGACGTGAGAGGAGGCTAGTAGAGACCAGTGGACAAGGTAGAAGATCCAGGACAGTCTAAGGCATGGGGTCACAGGGGGAAGAAGCAAGCCACCTGAGGCAGGTGCCAATCGGAAGGGGGTCTTTGGGAGCGGCCCTTGAGATGACTGCTGGAGGAGAGAGGGATGAGGAAAGCAACTGCTTCAGGCCAGGCAGGAGAGACCTGGAGCAGCTGGACCAGACACAAGGCTGCGAAGACTAAACAAGGAGGCAAGAGGGAGAGTCCTAACAGAGCGACCTAGCTGGAATGAAAGACCCCAGGAAGGCCTCAAGAGAAGAGAAAGGAGCTGAAGGACTGTTATCCTTGGCCTAGGAGCCTATGGGGCTGGAGACTCAGGTAAAAGACAGGTGGGGCAGGATGGAGGAAGAAGGAAGGAAGCAGAGGTTTGGAGAGAGACAGCAGCTCAGGCTTCTGAAACGCAGCTGACGGGAATGGGGAGGGATAAGATCCTGGGATCCCAGGACTGCTTGGGTCCTCTATAGGGACACTGTCATCTCCTTTCTCCTATCAGAGAGTCACCTCCCAAGAGGAGCTGAGCCCTAAAGAACTCAGAGCAAGCTGTCTTGCTGGGCAATGGGCCACATCTCAGAGGTTATGAAGAGATGTTGGCAGTTGCTTGCTGGCCAGGACAACGCTATAAAAGCCTTGAAGCCAAAATATTGAGGATGGATGGTTCTTTGTGGCCCACTTGAAGTGTGTCCTACAGAGGGGGGTGAGCCAGAAGTCTTTGGCTAGGGAGGAGGAGCAGGGCCCCCACGGAAGGTCTTTTCCCCCGTGATACTGCCCTCTGTTCGCTCCCACTCCTACCCGTCTGAGGAGTTCTAACTCCAGGCCCTCCTTGTGTTTCAGTACCTGTCTCGGACACTGGGCCTAGACTCCGTCGCCTTTGGCTACCTACAGACAGTCTTTGGAGTGCTTCAGCTGCTGGGTGGGCCTGTATTTGGCAGGTATAGTATGTGAGGGATGCAGGTCCCCGAATCCACAAAAGCCTTCGCCACCCCCTCTGAGTCTGGGTCCTGCCAGGTCCCCAGAATCCCTGTTCAACGGAAGGACAGGTGCAAGAGAGGCCCAGTCCCTGGTTGGCTTCCAAATGTCCCTGCACCCCGAACTCCAGCCGGTAGGCCTACAGATTACTTCCTTGGTAGAAGCCCACATACCCACACATACCCTGGGCGGTCCTTCACCAAGGTCCAAGCCTACCAGCAGCCCTGAGTTGGGAGTGAGGAAAGGGCCCCGCCTGCTGGGGAGTGACCGGTCTTGTGGCCCCAGGTTCGCGGACCAGTACGGGGCAAGAGCGGCACTCTCACTCTCCTTCCTGGCGGCCTCGGCTCTGTACTTGCTCCTAGCGGCCGCCTGTAGCCCATCCCTGCCTGGCATTTTCCTGCTCTTCGCCTCGCGCGTACCCGCAGCATTCATGCACACGCTTCCAGGTAGGGTTTGGTGGGTAGGCCTGGCTCTAACGGGGTAGAGGGGAGAAATGAGCCTCAGGTAGGGGGTAGGTAGCAGGTGATGGATGGAGAGGTGGTGCGTGCTCTGGGGCAGGCCAGATAGAGTGGAGAGGTTTGTAGAGGTGTGGCCTGGCTGGAGGGGCTGCGGGGATACGGTCTGAGTGGAGGGGCTGCGGGGCATGGCCTAGTTAAAGGAGCTTGCGGGCGTGGCCTGGACCCCTGGGTGGACTCTTCGCAGGTAGGGATAGGGTCTAACTCAGCCCCCTCCCACCCGCAGCTGCCCAAATGATCATCGCCGATCTGACAGCGCCCGCAGAGCGACCCGCTGCCCTGGGCAGGCTGGGCCTCTGCTTCGGTGTCGGAATGATCTTCGGCTCCCTGCTTGGCGGGACCCTTAGCAACGCATACGGGTAAGTGGCCTGGCGACGCGGGTGGGGAACTGGGAAGGCACTGGGCAGACTGCTTGATCTCGGACCGTCGGCCCAGCAACACCACCGCTCTTGAGACTTGGTTTCCCCACCTAAATACCAAGCTTTTGGGGACCAGCCTGCAGGGCGGATGGGGCCTTGAGAGGGCGTCGCCACCAGACGTCGCCACCAGGGGGCACTAACGTGCCGCCCATGGGCTGTCCGGAAGGAAGAACTGGGATTGCTGACATTCATTCTTACCGCGGCCAAACCCATTCAAATTTCAAAACGGTCCCAGAGTCTCTAGAGGTGGCTGTACTCTGTGGCCGAGGCGGGGGAGGAGGGGTAGTGTTGCTGTGGCCAAGATCCCGTAGAGGAATAGGGAAGACCGGATACCTGGGTGTTATGCCCTTCTGACATATGGTTCCTCATCTCAAAAAGTTAGTTGTGACAGTGGCTTGCAGACTTGAGGGGATAAACTGAGCTAGGCTTCTACCAAGTGCCCCGCTCTCTGTCCAGGAGCTCTTCACCTGGCCCTGTCCTGGGGAGTCAGCTTTATTTCCGTCTGGGAAGATCCCCCAATACACGGTTCTAGGATAGTCTGTGGTGGGCTCTCCCGTCTGTCCCCTGCAGTGGAGTCAGACCCAGTTGTCTCTAAATTGCTGAGGATCTTTTGGGAGGAAAACCTCACTTTGGTCTTAGCACGTTTCCTTGCT